CCATGTCAGTGGTGGATCTATTAGCTCGAATTCCACACTGTGATTCTGGATAGACTTTGTCTGCAAGCACCTGGAGCCTCTTCAGCACAACACGGGCAAGCAGCTTCCCTACAATGCTGAGATGCCATGGTAGTTATAGCAGTCGCCCCTGTCTCCTCTGTTCTTAAAGAATGTGACGATGCTTGCATCCTTCATATCCTGTGGTACTCCACCTTCCCTCCTGCAAAGACAAAAGATTTCATACAGTTCAGTGGTGATGATCTCTTTACAGCATTTCAACAGGGATATTATCCCTCCCAGGTGCCTTGCCGGAGGCAAGGGAATCCAAGGCCGCCTTTATTTCTGCTAAAATTGTTTCGCTGTCCAATTCTTCCAAGACAGGCAGGCACTCAATGTTATTTAATGCCTCTTTGGTTACTGCATTCTCTGTGGAATATAGCTCAGAGTAGTGATGCACCCAGCAGTCCATCTGCTGTGCTGATCACACTTGTAGCAGAGTTCAAAGGAGCAGATATCTTCTGTATTGGACCTAAAGCCTGCTTGATACCGTCATACATTCCCTTGATGTTACCTGAGTCCGCTGCCATCTGTATCTGAGAGCAAAGCTGAAGCCAATAATCATTAGAACATATCCTGGCAGCCTGTTGGACTTTGCTATGAGCAAGTTGAAGCTCCTGCAAGTTGTACTCACTAGGACATGCTGTGTATGCTGCTAGAGATCTCCTCTTTTCCTTGACGACAGGCATGAGATCCTCCGAATTGGCTCTGAACAAGTGTGCCGTCTTTTTTGTCTTCTCACCAAATGTGGACAAGACGGTGTTATAAGGTACATTCCTGAAATGTTCCCATCATCCAAGTGCATTTGCATCAGCCAGGCCTGGAGGGTTTCCTCAAGCGCTTGGGCAAATTCCTCCACTTTTCTTTGATTGTGAGTCTTGCTGATGTCAATATGTGGTCTTCCTTCCTTTTTCATGTGATACAATCTCTTTGTTCACAGTTTTACTCTACTACACAGCAAGGAGTCATAACTGTGTGTGATCATAATATTAGAAAGGCTAGAACATCAAATCGAGCTGATGCCAATGCTTTGACCTTGGATGTCTCCAGGAAATTCTGTGTTGAAGCTTCGTATTAAAAAGCATGTTGCTGACACAGAGACCATAATGACAGTAAAACTCCAGCAAGCGTTGGCCATTTTTGTTCATCTTCCCAATGCCAAAATAGCCTAGACAAGTGGGCCAAGAATTGTGATCAGCACCAACTCTAGCGTTAAAGTCTCTGAGAATAAACAGCGGCTCTCTCTCAGGGAGCCTTTTGATCGCAGCTGCCAGATCGTCATAGAATTTGTCTTTGATTTCTGTTGTGGATGACAGTGTTGGGGCATATACACTAATGAGGGTGACCGGTCCCGCTGATGAGTGCAGTTGCAGAGACAGGATCCTTTTACTCCCCTCAGTAGGTGGAACAATGGATCTCAGCAAAGTATTTCTAACCGCAAAGCCAACACCATATTCCCTGGTCTCATCCAATGGTTTTCCCTGCCAGAAGAATGGGATTATTTTTTTTCTTTGACAGATCCTGAGTCTGGCAATTTCATCTCTTGCAGGGCAACAATGTCCATCTGCAGCCTACTCAGTTCCATGTTGATGACAGTGTGTTGTCTATTTCCTGCTGGTTGTCAGAAAAGCCAGGGGCCATTGTACGAACATTCCAGGTGCCCAACTTTAGGGCAGAAGTTTTCTTATGATTGTTGCATGGTGCAGGGTTATCAATCTCCTTGTCGGCTTTTACCCTAAAATCTATGCACCCAGTGGGGTTAACAGACCGTGGCGAGACAGCACCTTACTGGTTGGGGGCTGCCCAGCTTAAGGCGGGTGGTAGCTACCTAGTGAGATGTAATGACCTCTCCCACCATTGGAAGTAGCCCGTGGCATCATGCTCTATACCAATTGAGCAGAGATTTATAACTGGTAACTGCTACTTCCCATGTTATTTCGATGCTGTATGCAAAGCTGGAGTGTCCTCTCCAGAGCACGAAGCCTGGGTAAGATAATATGGAGGACAGGCTGTTACCCAAGCAGCAGATCCCCCCCCTTCCTTTTCACTGAAATAGTCAAATGGAAAGGCAAGAGCCAATACCGGTGGTTCCAGTGACGTTGCAGGAGTTGCCAGAACATCATGAATTGCCTTCGGGACTCCGGCTCTGGATTTTGCCTCGAGGTTTACTCACGAAGCCTTTTCCATTGATGAATATAGCCACAAGGCAGTGGAGGTTTGAAAACCAAGTTTTCCTTCTCCTAGATGGGCTGCCTTCCAAGGCTAATTAGCCCCACCTGCCCGGGGCACTAATGGGGTGGTTTATAGACTAACTAACTAGCTAGCTAGTTAGCTAGCTAGCTAACTAACTAACTAAATAACTAAATAACTAACTAAATAAATAACTTTGCAATGATCAGCAATAATAAAAATAAACCAATATTGCTGAAATCTCTACAACTGGTGGAACCAGAATCTCTATTCCACTGAAACATCTTTCACACAAAAGCTTTGACATCTGCAGTCTTTAATGACACCTCCTAGAAAATCACGAAGCAAGCACTTAGGGTGTAATATGGGAATCACTGAAGCAGCCTAATGGGCTTTTATATGCAATCCAACCAAATCACACTCCTTCTTTAGCCATATACCTAAGCAACCAACCCAATTTCATGGCTGTATAATGCGAGAGAGGTTAAATCAGGCTTCTTGTACATTCTGAATAACTCTGTACAACAAATGCATTATGTCTTGTTAAGGGCTTGCAGAGATATGTTGGGTTCCATATGCATACTCTGACACTGTTCTCACTGTAAAACTAGAGACCAATGTTCCCTCTAATTTTTAACCCTGTTGGGTGGTGTGCCACCCCTCTAACACGTGACTCTGCCCCCCACACGGGATTCAGTCACAGCTGGAACCACAGGGGCAGAAAATGATCACTGTGGGTTCATAGAGGGAAGTGGAGCCATGCATGCTAGCACACTCTAGCAAGGTTGCTTAGAGGGAACCTTGCTAGACATTAAGCAATGCTTACTTGATTGCATACAGAATAACTAACAAAGAACACAGCAGTATAAAGTTATAACAGTGTCTCAATCTAATTGTCTTGCTTCCTTACAAACACATTCTTTTAATCAACAGTATGTTCCTTTCTCTATTTTATTACCTTCATGATGACCATGGGCCATCATCATCATATCAGGCTTGACTGGGATAGGAATATTTGCCTCTTGTGGTATGTTTTTGAACATCTCTGGGTTTACATTCTGTGTGCAGGTCATATATGAGACTGCATGTTTGGCCTCCATGTAGTACATAATGTAGAAATTGCACATTTCATCACTGGCTGTGCCCCTACAGCAGAATTCAACAAAAAAGAGAAACACGTAAATTAACAAGAGCATATGTATCCATTTTAGATATAAACTGAACATGAATTAGTACTGTGTCACAGAAAGCTACTTTGTAGTAGTGGGTATATAACAGAAATGAAACAACCACCGTTTCCCCCCTGATGATAAAGGGTCAGGCAGGAGTGTGCTTTAACATACCACATTAAAAATGCATAAGACCCTTGACATAAAAAGGCCATTAACTCCAGCTATTTGCCTGCCATTTACATTATGGAACATCCATCTAAATCATTTTCATAAACAATGGCTAGAATCCAAATGAATATTTACACCTATGTAAATGGTGTTACCCCATTCACAGATTGCTGCCTTGTCGTGGTGAAGGGGCTTGAGTAATTCAGAGAAGCTATGGGCTATGCTGTGAGGAACACCCAAGACAGAGAGGTCATAGTGGAGAGTTCTGACTAAACATGATCCACCTGGAGCAGGAACTGGCAAGCCACTCTAGTATCTTTGCCAAGAAAACTCGATGAACAGAACCAAAAGGCTAAAAGATATTATGCTGGAAGATGAGCCCCTCAGGTTGGAAGGCGTCCAACATGCTACTGAGGAAGAGCGGAGGACAAGTACAAGTAGCTCCAGAGCTAATTAAGTGGTTGGGTCAAAGCCGAAAGGACGCTCAGCTGTAGACCTGCATGGAAGTGAAAGGAAAGTCTGATGCTGCAAAGAAAAAAACCGCATAGGAACCTGGAATGTATGAACCTTGGTAAGCTGGATGTGGTCAAACAGGAGATGGCAAGAATATTGACATTCTGGGCGTCAGTGAACTAAAATGGACAGGAATGGGCAAGTTCAATTCAGACGATCATCATATCTAATACTGTGGGTAAGAATCCCGTAAAAGAAATGGAGTAGCCCTCACAGTCAACAAAAGAGTGGGAAAAGCTGTACTGGTATACAATCTCAAAAATGATAGAATGATTTCAATACGA